TAATAACAGTGTGTATAATTGTCTAAAGAAGTGTCCTTTAACCCACATAATGGCTGCATTTGAATTACCCGAGTTTGTGCATATGTGAAGCATCCTTGTGAAGCTTGTACTACCCCTTTCTACCACCACAGCTCTTACATGTGTGCTTTCCTTTACAGGATTGGAAAGATTTTGGAGACTGAAGAGGTTGTAGAGGCTCTGATGGAAGGAATAGTGACCAACCAGAAAATGGTTTTTGTTCCACCACAGCTAAATATTGCTTTGCTTTCTGAAATGTAAGTAGCAAAAGAAAATGAAAAAGTGGGGGTGGAAACAACAATGCTTACAACCTGAGTATATGAAGATCAAACTTGTAACATCTGAATGAAGATCAATTTAATTTTATGGGAAACTGCATTTTGCACTCGTGATATTAAAAGATATAGTTTGGCAGCATAGGGAAACCCTGAAATGACAGCTGCACAGAAGTAGTTTACATTCAGCCCAGTTTCATTTATTTTATATTCAGTATTGGACATTGTTATACTTATTAATCCAGATTTGACATCAGTGTGCCTATAGCAACTAGATAATGTGTAATTGTCTTCAGGAGACAGTATAATGTATTAAACAACCAGCCATCTAAAATATTGTAGTATGAGAAGAACACATCACAAGGTAATGAAATAGCAGTTGTTCTTTCTAACGAGAACACACACAAAGATTTTTTGGAGCCCTCTCATAGGTCCTTCTAATCCACTTGCTGCAGATAACTGTTCTCAGTGAAGAGCTCAACTATTCTACAGGCCAATAAGGAAGCAGAGGGAGAACAGAACACCTTTTCCTCAGAGATCATGATTTTCCTTGGGCTTGCAAACAGCAGTTTCTCTGAATCAGCATCATTCCAGAAAGAGCTGAGGACCTGCTGCTTATTAGTGTTTGTTTCTTCATGTCAGCACCAAAGATTGAGGTCATGGAGGCTGGGGACTTTGCTTCAAATGGGCTCTACTGCTCTCTGCCATGTAAAGCAAGATTTTTCCTCTCACACGTCTTTAATATTCAGTGTAGCTGCTCTGCTGAGGAGGTGTTGTTATCAGAGCTCAAGTTCCAAATCTGTAATTTACGTCAGAACAACTAAGTGAACGTCTCATTTAAATGCTTTAGTATTTCATGAAACACTTGGTAATATCTTATTTGCAAAACCCAACAACAGACAGTGGGAAAGTTTTTCAGTTTTTTGCATCTCCAAGAGCTGCTTGCTGACAGTGCAAGTCTGCAGAAGCATCGACAAATCAAAACTAATGCTGTCAAAGCCCTTAGGGTAACTTTGCTTTTCTGTCTTAATTTGGGACAGGGGGACAGAGACATATAACTCTTAAGAGAAAGAATCCTAGGAGAGGAAACTGCACCTCAGTTTTAACATCTCATCCTTCCTTAGACCTGCTGCTTTTCAGAGCATGAAGCACGTAATACACACCTATATCTGTACAATATTGAGCCTTCCTGGATCCTCCAGCAGTATTGCAACCCAAATACTGCCCAGCATATACCCAGCATTGGAACTGTCCTAACAAGACTTGGCTGGGACTGGAGTTTAATTAGTCAGAGATTGATGAGAGCTATGTGTTCTTTGGAAATAACGCCCAGTTTAAGACTTAGTCTCAGTCCATATATGTGTATGCATTCTGCTCCCAGACCACTCTTCCCTCACCTCCAGTGCCACTTTTTCCCATAATTTAAGTTTCTATCTCATGCTTAATTTCATGTTATTTTCTCTTTCAGGGTGTTTCCAGAACGTGCCCTGAATGTTCTGAAGAAGCTCACGGTTCCAAAGTTTGATGCAATCATTGGGCAGAGAAGCACCCAGTGAAGCCAAGAATTGATTCTCGTTTTGCAGTGGCATGAGTGAAAACAACGTGTGCTGAGGGTAGTTCAGCTGGTTTGATACAGAACTAAGACAGGTGCTTCCAGGCTACCATTTCCAAGCACACAGGAGGGTTTATCCCACACCTGCAGCAGGAATATATCTGCATAATATGAAATGTTAGCAAAGCAGAGATGCTTTGCTAGAAAGGCTGCTTTGAATGTATGTCACATCGCCTCTGTCTCGTAGTGTTGAGGCAGACAGGAATTCCCACAAAGCCTGTATTTGGGACAGCACAGCTGCCTATTTGAGTGCCAAGGGATTGCCTGAAAATATGTTAACATGGACTCATTCCTGAGCAAAAGCGTCTTGCAAGAAAAAGTTTATACAGCAGGTAGGTGGCCTGTTTCACCTCAATTTATCTTTTAAATGTAAGAAAATATGCTCTAATGAACACTTACAGTTTCATGTGTGTTTGTAATGTGTATTATTGAATTATTTTAATTAATTGTATTATTGAAATAATACAGCCTTGTTTGTAATGTAATGCCTAATTACATTGATTATCAATTATGCCTTAGCACCATCAACACTCCTTATTTCAAATAAATACATTTTTCTAACCCAAAAGTGTCTCTCAGCAATGAAGATGGGAACTAGGTCCAAGAAAGGACAGTGGAGCAAGTGCAAAAGTAAAAGGGTCAGCCAGAGCCTGCCAACCACCAGGCCAGGCTGCAAGGGATGAGGCAGGTCCCATGGTCACACCAGGAAGTCACATCAGGATCAATGAGGTACAGGGCCAGGCATGGCACACCACCAGCACAGCTCACACAAGGGCTGGGGCCAAGGCCAGGGCTTAAAGGTGGGTGCCAGGGAAGAGAGTACACGGGAAAAGGCTCCAGATGAGCCTTCGCTCAGCTCCTCATGACAAGCCAGTGGCCTGATCTGATGGGACCCACCTTGACCAGGAGGTTAAATCCCCAAAGGCCTTCAGCCTGTGGTACAAGAGAGCAGCACCTGATGAAACACGGGTCAAAGATCCCTTTGAAGCACAGATTATCTGTGCAGCTACTTGTGTAACTCCCAGCCACTGCAGGGACTTGCTGGCTCACAGCCATCTGAGGGAGGCCTGAATATGCTGCCACCTTTGGCACAGTTGGATTCCATGCTCACCTGAGCATTTCTTGTTGTCCTGTAAACAGGTTCTTCAGAAAAGCGTGCAATATGGTCCAGTGACTCCAAAGAAAAAGCACAAAAAGACCCCTGAGATATTCAAGTCAATGTCCCGATGACTAGGCCCTCTTGTCATACTGGCTTCAGTAGGACACATCAGACAAGATATTTGGCTTCTCCTGGCACACCATTCCCACTAGCCTTGTGCATTATTCAGATTCTCATGCCAGCATTAAATTGGAAGACAGAAATCCATCTAGGGAATGACAGACAGCGCTGTCCTGCAGAGTCTGTTTCTCAGCATACTTGGTCCTAAGGAAAGGGAAACTGTATTCACTCCCATCTTGCCAGATCTAGTCTAGTCTCTCAGAGCCCAGAGGAATTATTGGGCAGGGCAACTTGTGCAGTACTTCATATGTGGCTGCAGTTGTTCTCTGTGTCTCCTATGGCTGCAAGTCTTCTGCTTGGCATAAAGAAACATATAAAAAGCAAGGAGTTAAGCCTTCATCTCCTGAACACCAGTGACAGAATTGATTCATCAAGCTTCCCAGGCTTCTCAGTTCTCTTTCTGGCCACAGCAGCCAACAGAAGCTTGTCCCATAGTCTGGTCATTATTGGTGCCCAGCAGGAGCCTATGTGAGCAGGCTTCATATAGCCACCTACAGCCAAGTCCCAAATTTGAAGAGTGGTATCTCACACCCTGGCTTAGGACTCATAATGAGTCAGGCTGGTGACTCTGGCCTTGTGCTCTGCCTCCTGCTGAGGTATCTCTTAGAGACAATGGTTCTATGCCCTGCCTGCCTTCACTGTTTTGGCCACGGCACTGACTGGAGCCCTGTGCCAGGAAAATGACAGCACCGCTGAGCCGTGCAATTAGGGTCGGGCCCAAATGCTGATGTGTTAATTAAGCAGAGAATGAAGTTCCAAGAGGAAGGGAGGAAGTGCCTAGCTTGGAATGGCTCTGCTGGAGCTTACCCAGTCTCTCACAGACAAGGTTAGCAACAATGCATCCAAACCACCAGGACAAAAACAGTACTTTTCAAGAACTGTAATCTTAACTGGAGGCTGATTTTGGTCAGTTGACAGATATTCATGAAACCTTCACTCTTCCCCAAGCAGCTTAAAAATATGCTTAAATAAAATTATGAACATGACTGTGATACATCTAGTTTTCTAACTGAAAAGCAGAGGAGTAAGGTCAGCAATCCTTTTCAAGTAAGACCATGCAGTTACATTGTTGGAGCTGGAAAAACCACCTGAAACTACTTTTCTCCTATTTCCCATAAACACTCCTGTTCTGGTTAAGGTTCTGAATACACCCTTACACACAAGCAAGTTGTGTGCTTTAGACTCAATTAGATAAGGATGACCCAATTCACTCAGTCAATGCTGTTTTCCAAAGGACTTGAGGAAACTAAGTAGCCATAGCATAAGATGAAAGGTCTGAGTATGAATCACTAATTAGAAAAAAGAATAAAAGAGAGCAGCCAGGCAAGACCTCACCTATGGAGTTCCACAAGTTGAAAGGACTTGTCTCATTCAGCTTTCTTTAAGTGATCTGGAAGAGGAAGGTATTGGGACAAAGTCTGCTGACAATGGACAGATACCCAATGGAAGGAAGGACCATGAAGAAAACCACTCAAGGACCTCATGGAACTGAGCGACTGGACAGTCACAAAGCAGGATTTGAGCCACACAACACAGAGTTGAGGGGAACTTCAAGGTGCTTTTGCCGGTAACTGGATGAGCAAATTTATTGCCAGTTCTGTCCCTCCTGCACCTGCTGCAGACGACAAACAAGAACAAGAACCGCTCACCCGGGCACGGAGAGCTCCGTGCGGGGCTGGGCGGAGCAGCCCCCCGGGCTCCCGCCCCCTGCCCGGGACGGGCGGCGCGGGGGTGGATCCTGCCGGGAACGGACAGGACGAGCAGTGAGCGCTGAGACGGGCGCGGGCAGCTGGTAAATCAACAACCCACGTCCCCGTCAAAAGAGATAAAAGTTCAGTTCGGCCATCAAACGACCCTCGGAAAAAAACAATGAATCTGTTTGTGGAAACTTTTCTGTTCCTGGGCACGCTCGTCTACTCCTACCTGGAGGCTTTTGTGAAGCTGTTTGTCCCCGTGAGGAGGAAGTCTGTCAGCGGAGAGCTTGTGCTCATCACGGGTGCTGGCCATGGCGTCGGCAGAGCGACCGCCCTCGAGTTCGCCAAGCGCCAGAGCAGGCTGGTCCTCTGGGACATCAGCAAGGTAATGGCACAGCTGTGTCCTCACTCCTTCACCTCCGAGCCCGATGGGGTTCAAGAGCGTAAGAAGGGCATCGTCAGGTTGCATCCACAGCAGCTCCTTCCCCCTCCGCTGCCGTCGGCTCACGGCCGGCTCTGACTGGCCCGCTGAGCGCCAGGAGAGGGTTTGGCCCCGCTGGCAGCAGAGGATGGAGGGCTCTGGGTCCCGCAGTTCCTCGGCACTGCTCAGCGAGGGAGCAGGCACCGCCTGGCAGAGCCCCTGCGAGAGGGAAGTGCGTGCTCCGAGAGCTGCTGCTGGAACCGCTGCCCGGGCTGGCAGGCGGAGCACGCCGAGACCAGCAGCCTGCTTCCACTGAGGAGCAGGTTTGCCTCCGCTGAGCGTCTCTGGCCTCAGGCGTTTTGCATACATTGCTGGAGGGTGTGTTTTCTCTTTACTCGTATCGACAGCATTGCTGTGCTGAGCTGGGTGTGAGCCCTGCTGCCCTCTGGGGCAGCTACAAGTGTAGATGGCTCCTTGCTGAATGTTCATACTGGCCCAAAGTGTTTCAGATAATTTGACTGGAACGCAAAAAGACCTTGGCAAGTGGAGGATGGACAGGTACAAATGTGCATCTTGGCAGTCAGTAGGGATCAAGGCCAAGTGTGTGTAGGTGCAAGCAGCTGTACAGAGAGGGTGAGAGGTTGGAGAGCAGAGAGTGGGAAAGGTTTCTGACACAGTGGGTCAGGAGAGGAGTTCATCCTGTGGTCCTGAAGCTGCAAAAACAAAACCCAGCCCACTACAAACAAACAAAGAAACCCCCACAAAATCCAAGACCAAGGATAAGGGGTTGTATAAACAGGGAAGGTACTGTAGAACATTTTCAGTGTTTGTTCGTGCTGCCCATTATGGCTAAGACCAGACACTGGAGGTGTGGCAGGAGGCACAGCACTGCTCTTCTGATGTGTACAGGGCTACAGCAAAGGAGAGCATTGTCCATGTTCTCTGGATGGAATTCAGGGATTAAGGAATAAATTTAGTAGCGAGCGACACCTGGCTGTGGTGCTGGGAAATAGACTGTAAGGGTGGGTGTAAGGAGGAACTGATATACGATACCAAAGGAATGGTGGATTCCAGAGGATTTAGGACTATGCTTCTCCAGTCCAGCTGCCTAGTCCAAGGCCTCCTTCCTGGGGGCTCTCAGCCTTAAGCAGCAGCCAGGACTGAGGGCAGCTGCCCAATCACCCACTGCAGGGACCTGCACAGGTGATGTCAGGTGCTGAGCTGTCCCAGGCTATTTGTGACCTGGGGCCTTTCACTGCACAGGTCCCCTGGCGCCTGAGGACAAGGCTACACCCTAGTCACTTCTGCCCTGTCTTACTGGGTTGATGTAATGACTTAGGGAAGCTTCTGTTCTGTGCGTATCAAAAGCCATTCCTGAAATTCCATTTTGCACTGTGGAAGGCACCTCTTTTCTTACACCTAGTCTGTGAATACATAGAAACCACTTTTCATATCTCAAAGTGTCAGACAGGCCTGTGTTTTAAGAGTTCTGTTTACACTCACAGTGTCTCCCTGCTGTGCTGTGATAGGCACTGTGTGCCCCCTTTCTGCAGCCTAGTTACATGTGCCTTACCAAGGCAAACTCCCTCTTGTTGCCACATTGCCTTTCTGGCAGTCCCTCTAGGCTGGTCCAAAATTTAAGGCTGGAATACCTGTCCTCTCAAGGACCCCATCTACAGCTCTGTCCCTGGGTAACCATGGGGTGTGGCTGTGTTTGCACAGTTAAGAGATGTCTCCAGGCTGTAACTGCTCTGCTGAGGTGCCTCAGCAGCAACACGTGGGCAGGGCACAGTTGTGCGGGGGCCTGGCAGTGGTGACACAATTAAGAGACATCTTCAGCAGGGCACAGTTGTGCAAGAGTGTCTTTCTTTTCTGCCCCTTCCAGCACGGCGTTGAGGAGACGGCAGCAGAATGCAAGGGTCTGGGGGCCACTGTTGAAACCTTCGTGGTGGACTGCAGCAAACGGGAGGAGATCTACAGCGCTGCAGAGAAGGTAGGGCAGCAGGGGCATGGACAGAGGCTCACCCAAACACGCTCCATTTCCAGAAAAGCCGGGACAGCTGGAGAAGAGACATTGCACGCAAATCATGGAAGGCCTTGGAACCTCCCCACTCCTCGCTGCTCTCTGTACACAGAGTGGTGAGGCATTTCCAAGATCACACCCTTTAGTGAGGCTCCAGGGTATCATTCCTCACTGCCAGGTTTGCTCTGGAGAGTTCCAGCCTCTGAAGAAACACAGGCAGCACTGAGGACATATGAAACATTTTATTGTAAAGGTTATGGTCCAGCTGGCTCAAAACTGTCTGTACCTCCCTAGTCCCAGCTGTGACTACACAGTCCAAACTGTGTGTGTGCGCAATGTGTGGAAGACAATAAATTTTGGCAGTAATTATTTAAGGGAGAAGAATCAGATCTAAACTAGATCTCATGGTAATTACCTCACAGTTTCTGCCACATCTAGAAAGGTACTGTGATCTTCCTCTCCATAAAAGAAATAATGGTAAGAAATAAATTAATTATTGCTCATCTTCTGCAGCCTTGCATTTTTTTATTTGGGGTTTTTATATAATGAATGACAGACACACTTCTGGGCCTTTGTTTTGCTCCAAAAGGTGAAAAAGGAAATTGGGGATGTGACCATCCTGGTGAACAATGCTGGTGTGATCACAGCTGCAGACCTGCTCTCAACTCAGGACCATCAGATAGAAAGAATGTTTGAAGTCAACATCCTGGCTCACATGTGGGTAAGGGCCACTACCATCTCCATACCTCCAGGGCATACCCATTGAGGAGACCTATTTAAAGTAACGTTTATTACCAGTGAGTTACCAAAGTGCTATTTGGATGTGTACAGCACAGGGGCACCCTTGGGAAACTTGAACAGCCTCTTGCTGATCTGAGCAGGCTGGTGACAGCCTCATGTGCAGCATGTGTCAGAGCTGTACTGGGGCTTACAGAGTGGGGGGGGTTCAGCTGTTAAGCAGTATTTGTTTGCAGCTGAAGAGAAGCTGCAGGTTGACATGTGTTTTATTGTACGTGCTGGGGGTGAGACACTCTCAGCATTGCCGGTGAGACCTGGAACCTAAAAAGCAGCAGAGAAAAGATGTGAAAACGAGATCCTGTTTATAGCTTCAGACTTCCTGAAACATTTGCAGAGCAGGTTGCCGGATGCACCAGCTGATCAGAGAACAGGTATCCCTGGGGCTCTCAGATTGTGAGGTGCTGTGCAGCACAAAGCATTAGTCTCTTAATGACTGATATTCAGGGTCAGTGCTGAATATGCCTAAGAAAACATTGTTCTTCTCTTCCTTCCTGCCCCCTGCATTTTTGCCTCTTGACTTACTTTGAAGACGACAAGAGCTTTTCTGCCAGCCATGATGAACAACAACTATGGGCACATTGTCACGGTGGCTTCGGCAGCAGGTCATTTTGGGACTTCTTTCATGGTGGCTTATTGGTAAGTGATTTTTTTTAGTCAGCTCGCTTCTTTTTTTTTTTTTTTTAATTTTTAATCGTTTCTTCTCCATCAGAAAATACCAAGTTATTAGCTCTGACTGAATCAGGTGCAATGCTTGTATGAAAGAAAAATCATTTGACACATCAACTAATGAAAGATTTTCTCCTGTTTTCTCGTCATCACCGATCCAGACTTTTGCTTAGCAAAAAAGGTATCCTTCTCCCTTCTCCTTACAACATAGTGATTCTGTGATTTGTTGTAGAGTTGTCAAGTAAACCCCTAGTGAGTAGTTTTTGATCCTTTTACCTTTGTGGCAGTGACTGTAGTGTATAGAAGTAGAATCATCGAGGTTGGAAGGGACCCTTATGATCATGAATTCCAACTGTGAACCCAACATTACCGCTGCAATCCCCAAACCTCTAAACCACATCACCCAGCGCTACATCCAGAGACGTCTTAAACACCTGCAGGGATGTGACTCCACCACCTCCTTGGGCAACCTATTCCAGTGCCTGACCACTCCAGTAGTGAGAAAAATTTTCTAATATTTAATCTGAGTCTTTCCTGCCTCAGCTTAAGGCTAAGACTCATCTGCCTGTTCATCTTATTCTATAACAGATTCCCACCATTATGTCTACCCTGCTGACCTTCCCCCCAGTCTTCTGCCATCATGACATAAAATTACTTTTTTACTTGAAACATGTCGGGAAAATCATGGTGCATGCACATCAAACCTATTGGATTGCATATTGTCATTCTGCATCACATCTAGCCTTCTATAACAGCAGCTCCAGGTGCAGCAGTCTTCCCCTGGGAACACTCTTTCTTAGAGAATCACTCCCTGCTGGCAATGTGAGAACTCCCCAGCCAGGGATTTTAGTGGGATGACTGTCCAAATTAATAACCGTCAATAAACTGATTCTCTCGTTTTCCTTTCCTTGGCATTGACTTAAACTAGAGGCACACATCTATTTCTGTGGCACATTGTTCCTCAGTTTTGCTTGCATAATGCTCCTCTATTTCAGAAGTCACACACAACTGTTACAAGATGGTCCCATATGGTATAAGAAGCAGTAGAGGGTTAATCTTCTTTCCCACCCTGCCTGTCCTTCTTAATTTTAGAGATTCAGGCTGCATTCTTTCTACGAATCTTCTCACATGGATAAATCAGAATGTCTGTCTATCAATGCACATTAGTTATTGTTTTCTAAGATTTCCTTAGTCTGTTTGAAACCAAGGTGACTTTTTTTGAGACATCTGCTGTGCATTCCACAACTACTCCCCAAGCTGCAATATCTAATCCAGCGCTACATCCTGGCACATGGGAAATTAGAATTAGTCCTTGCCCTGTCTCTCAGATGGATTACATTATTTGGTTGGGTTTTTTTTTTTGCCTCCCAGCCTGTACTGTATGATTGTTTAGGCCATTTACGGTTGTAGAGAGTTAGAAATACTATTTATGCCTTCTAATTTGTGCTTTTTTCCCCTCCTGCAGCTCAAGCAAGTTTGCTGCAGTTGGATTTCATAAAGCTCTGACAGAGGAACTGTCTACCCTGGGAAAGGACGGAATAAAAACCACGTGCCTTTGTCCGGTTTTTATAAACACTGGATTTGTCAAAAACCCCAGTACAAGGTAACTCTGCGTTCCTGTCCTTCCTTCTTTGCACCAGGGCACTGCATAATATCCCCAGCTTCAGGCCTTCTATTGCAACTGACTGTGTAATAACAGTGTGTATAATTGTCTAAAGAAGTGTCCTTTAACCCACATAATGGCTGCATTTGAATTACCCGAGTTTGTGCATATGTGAAGCATCCTTGTGAAGCTTGTACTACCCCTTTCTACCACCACAGCTCTTACATGTGTGCTTTCCTTTACAGGATTGGAAAGATTTTGGAGACTGAAGAGGTTGTAGAGGCTCTGATGGAAGGAATAGTGACCAACCAGAAAATGGTTTTTGTTCCACCACAGCTAAATATTGCTTTGCTTTCTGAAATGTAAGTAGCAAAAGAAAATGAAAAAGTGGGGGTGGAAACAACAATGCTTACAACCTGAGTATATGAAGATCAAACTTGTAACATCTGAATGAAGATCAATTTAATTTTATGGGAAACTGCATTTTGCACTCGTGATATTAAAAGATATAGTTTGGCAGCATAGGGAAACCCTGAAATGACAGCTGCACAGAAGTAGTTTACATTCAGCCCAGTTTCATTTATTTTATATTCAGTATTGGACATTGTTATACTTATTAATCCAGATTTGACATCAGTGTGCCTATAGCAACTAGATAATGTGTAATTGTCTTCAGGAGACAGTATAATGTATTAAACAACCAGCCATCTAAAATATTGTAGTATGAGAAGAACACATCACAAGGTAATGAAATAGCAGTTGTTCTTTCTAACGAGAACACACACAAAGATTTTTTGGAGCCCTCTCATAGGTCCTTCTAATCCACTTGCTGCAGATAACTGTTCTCAGTGAAGAGCTCAACTATTCTACAGGCCAATAAGGAAGCAGAGGGAGAACAGAACACCTTTTCCTCAGAGATCATGATTTTCCTTGGGCTTGCAAACAGCAGTTTCTCTGAATCAGCATCATTCCAGAAAGAGCTGAGGACCTGCTGCTTATTAGTGTTTGTTTCTTCATGTCAGCACCAAAGATTGAGGTCATGGAGGCTGGGGACTTTGCTTCAAATGGGCTCTACTGCTCTCTGCCATGTAAAGCAAGATTTTTCCTCTCACACGTCTTTAATATTCAGTGTAGCTGCTCTGCTGAGGAGGTGTTGTTATCAGAGCTCAAGTTCCAAATCTGTAATTTACGTCAGAACAACTAAGTGAACGTCTCATTTAAATGCTTTAGTATTTCATGAAACACTTGGTAATATCTTATTTGCAAAACCCAACAACAGACAGTGGGAAAGTTTTTCAGTTTTTTGCATCTCCAAGAGCTGCTTGCTGACAGTGCAAGTCTGCAGAAGCATCGACAAATCAAAACTAATGCTGTCAAAGCCCTTAGGGTAACTTTGCTTTTCTGTCTTAATTTGGGACAGGGGGACAGAGACATATAACTCTTAAGAGAAAGAATCCTAGGAGAGGAAACTGCACCTCAGTTTTAACATCTCATCCTTCCTTAGACCTGCTGCTTTTCAGAGCATGAAGCACGTAATACACACCTATATCTGTACAATATTGAGCCTTCCTGGATCCTCCAGCAGTATTGCAACCCAAATACTGCCCAGCATATACCCAGCATTGGAACTGTCCTAACAAGACTTGGCTGGGACTGGAGTTTAATTAGTCAGAGATTGATGAGAGCTATGTGTTCTTTGGAAATAACGCCCAGTTTAAGACTTAGTCTCAGTCCATATATGTGTATGCATTCTGCTCCCAGACCACTCTTCCCTCACCTCCAGTGCCACTTTTTCCCATAATTTAAGTTTCTATCTCATGCTTAATTTCATGTTATTTTCTCTTTCAGGGTGTTTCCAGAACGTGCCCTGAATGTTCTGAAGAAGCTCACGGTTCCAAAGTTTGATGCAATCATTGGGCAGAGAAGCACCCAGTGAAGCCAAGAATTGATTCTCGTTTTGCAGTGGCATGAGTGAAAACAACGTGTGCTGAGGGTAGTTCAGCTGGTTTGATACAGAACTAAGACAGGTGCTTCCAGGCTACCATTTCCAAGCACACAGGAGGGTTTATCCCACACCTGCAGCAGGAATATATCTGCATAATATGAAATGTTAGCAAAGCAGAGATGCTTTGCTAGAAAGGCTGCTTTGAATGTATGTCACATCGCCTCTGTCTCGTAGTGTTGAGGCAGACAGGAATTCCCACAAAGCCTGTATTTGGGACAGCACAGCTGCCTATTTGAGTGCCAAGGGATTGCCTGAAAATATGTTAACATGGACTCATTCCTGAGCAAAAGCGTCTTGCAAGAAAAAGTTTATACAGCAGGTAGGTGGCCTGTTTCACCTCAATTTATCTTTTAAATGTAAGAAAATATGCTCTAATGAACACTTACAGTTTCATGTGTGTTTGTAATGTGTATTATTGAATTATTTTAATTAATTGTATTATTGAAATAATACAGCCTTGTTTGTAATGTAATGCCTAATTACATTGATTATCAATTATGCCTTAGCACCATCAACACTCCTTATTTCAAATAAATACATTTTTCTAACCCAAAAGTGTCTCTCAGCAATGAAGATGGGAACTAGGTCCAAGAAAGGACAGTGGAGCAAGTGCAAAAGTAAAAGGGTCAGCCAGAGCCTGCCAACCACCAGGCCAGGCTGCAAGGGATGAGGCAGGTCCCATGGTCACACCAGGAAGTCACATCAGGATCAATGAGGTACAGGGCCAGGCATGGCACACCACCAGCACAGCTCACACAAGGGCTGGGGCCAAGGCCAGGGCTTAAAGGTGGGTGCCAGGGAAGAGAGTACACGGGAAAAGGCTCCAGATGAGCCTTCGCTCAGCTCCTCATGACAAGCCAGTGGCCTGATCTGATGGGACCCACCTTGACCAGGAGGTTAAATCCCCAAAGGCCTTCAGCCTGTGGTACAAGAGAGCAGCACCTGATGAAACACGGGTCAAAGATCCCTTTGAAGCACAGATTATCTGTGCAGCTACTTGTGTAACTCCCAGCCACTGCAGGGACTTGCTGGCTCACAGCCATCTGAGGGAGGCCTGAATATGCTGCCACCTTTGGCACAGTTGGATTCCATGCTCACCTGAGCATTTCTTGTTGTCCTGTAAACAGGTTCTTCAGAAAAGCGTGCAATATGGTCCAGTGACTCCAAAGAAAAAGCACAAAAAGACCCCTGAGATATTCAAGTCAATGTCCCGATGACTAGGCCCTCTTGTCATACTGGCTTCAGTAGGACACATCAGACAAGATATTTGGCTTCTCCTGGCACACCATTCCCACTAGCCTTGTGCATTATTCAGATTCTCATGCCAGCATTAAATTGGAAGACAGAAATCCATCTAGGGAATGACAGACAGCGCTGTCCTGCAGAGTCTGTTTCTCAGCATACTTGGTCCTAAGGAAAGGGAAACTGTATTCACTCCCATCTTGCCAGATCTAGTCTAGTCTCTCAGAGCCCAGAGGAATTATTGGGCAGGGCAACTTGTGCAGTACTTCATATGTGGCTGCAGTTGTTCTCTGTGTCTCCTATGGCTGCAAGTCTTCTGCTTGGCATAAAGAAACATATAAAAAGCAAGGAGTTAAGCCTTCATCTCCTGAACACCAGTGACAGAATTGATTCATCAAGCTTCCCAGGCTTCTCAGTTCTCTTTCTGGCCACAGCAGCCAACAGAAGCTTGTCCCATAGTCTGGTCATTATTGGTGCCCAGCAGGAGCCTATGTGAGCAGGCTTCATATAGCCACCTACAGCCAAGTCCCAAATTTGAAGAGTGGTATCTCACACCCTGGCTTAGGACTCATAATGAGTCAGGCTGGTGACTCTGGCCTTGTGCTCTGCCTCCTGCTGAGGTATCTCTTAGAGACAATGGTTCTATGCCCTGCCTGCCTTCACTGTTTTGGCCACGGCACTGACTGGAGCCCTGTGCCAGGAAAATGACAGCACCGCTGAGCCGTGCAATTAGGGTCGGGCCCAAATGCTGATGTGTTAATTAAGCAGAGAATGAAGTTCCAAGAGGAAGGGAGGAAGTGCCTAGCTTGGAATGGCTCTGCTGGAGCTTACCCAGTCTCTCACAGACAAGGTTAGCAACAATGCATCCAAACCACCAGGACAAAAACAGTACTTTTCAAGAACTGTAATCTTAACTGGAGGCTGATTTTGGTCAGTTGACAGATATTCATGAAACCTTCACTCTTCCCCAAGCAGCTTAAAAATATGCTTAAATAAAATTATGAACATGACTGTGATACATCTAGTTTTCTAACTGAAAAGCAGAGGAGTAAGGTCAGCAATCCTTTTCAAGTAAGACCATGCAGTTACATTGTTGGAGCTGGAAAAACCACCTGAAACTACTTTTCTCCTATTTCCCATAAACACTCCTGTTCTGGTTAAGGTTCTGAATACACCCTTACACACAAGCAAGTTGTGTGCTTTAGACTCAATTAGATAAGGATGACCCAATTCACTCAGTCAATGCTGTTTTCCAAAGGACTTGAGGAAACTAAGTAGCCATAGCATAAGATGAAAGGTCTGAGTATGAATCACTAATTAGAAAAAAGAATAAAAGAGAGCAGCCAGGCAAGACCTCACCTATGGAGTTCCACAAGTTGAAAGGACTTGTCTCATTCAGCTTTCTTTAAGTGATCTGGAAGAGGAAGGTATTGGGACAAAGTCTGCTGACAATGGACAGATACCCAATGGAAGGAAGGACCATGAAGAAAACCACTCAAGGACCTCATGGAACTGAGCGACTGGACAGTCACAAAGCAGGATTTGAGCCACACAACACAGAGTTGAGGGGAACTTCAAGGTGCTTTTGCCGGTAACTGGATGAGCAAATTTATTGCCAGTTCTGTCCCTCCTGCACCTGCTGCAGACGACAAACAAGAACAAGAACCGCTCACCCGGGCACGGAGAGCTCCGTGCGGGGCTGGGCGGAGCAGCCCCCCGGGCTCCCGCCCCCTGCCCGGGACGGGCGGCGCGGGGGTGGATCCTGCCGGGAACGGACAGGACGAGCAGTGAGCGCTGAGACGGGCGC